CAATTCAAAATCCAACCTGGGGCTCATCATCGGCTGCGTTGTGGCTGCCCTTGTCCTGGCGTGTGTGATTGCTGGGATCCTGGTATTCTTCAGTAAGTATCTTTTTCTGGGTGATTGAAGGAAGATGGGGAGTTTCCTCTCAAATCTAGCCCTTTGGGGGGCTTTTTCCTGGCTTCCTTCTGTTTTCTTGCCTTCAGAAATTGTGGGTGCTCCAACACTGGAGAAGCAACTGGACAACCATTTGTCTAAAATGGTATATAGGGTCTCCTGCTTGAGCAGGGTGTTGTTATCCCCAGCCGTCTTTGGGCTCCAGTCTCTGCTGAGTTTGAGGTTCTGACAGTCCTATCTTCTTCTGAGCTATGAAGAAGCATCACACTTTTGCCTTATTCAAAAGCTTTAGTCACAGGGCAGCAGATAAAAGATTTCAATGAAAATTGGGTGCTTTCGCTTCCCCCATTTCTCCTCCATCTTGGAGGCAGCAGATCGCTCTCGATGTTTGTAATTGTAATCAGATGTTTGTAGTCTGTAGATCAGGGGTGTCAAACTCGCGCCCCATGTGCCGGATGCGTCATGCTCTGGCCACACCCACCCCGGTTTAGCGAAGGGGAAAGACGTGATACGTCACGTGACAAACGATGTGACAATGCAAATTTGACACCCCTGCTGTAGTTTTTCCTGTGTCTGCTTATCGCTAGGAGAGGTTGTGACTCAACAACTGTGAAGACCTCTCTCGGGGATTTTCCCCCTACAGAGGGAGAGACTGGATGATCTCTGACGGATTCTTTTTTTCACTGATTTTTTTTTTCCTTGCAGAGAAATGTGAAGGTGGCTACAAAGCAGCAAAAAGTGAGTGGTTTGTTTCCGCTTGACATGTTGACTCCCACTCAGAGTAGGGATCAGAGGCTCCATGAGTTGAGAAGTGTGTATGTGTTCCTGTGACTCCAAATGCCATGAGCAACTCATGACGCTGCAGAGGACCGAGAAGTAAGCTGAGGAGGATGGGCCGGGCTGTTCTTGTGAGCGGAGGAACAGCTGATATGAGAAACTCTCGAAAGAGTGAGAAGAGTGAGAAGACCTGGCTCAGTGGAAGATCCCTCCGATTGAGAAGTTGCTCTGTTTTCCAAGTAGGCAGAAATGAAGGCTTGGCCATAACATGATCAGGAAGCTCCGTAAAAGTACTGATCAAAAAGAGGCATTTTGAGAGAGCTTTGGTGGTTACCAGCTGGATCTCCTCTTGGTCTCCCACCAAAAAGGCTCTCTAAGCACGAACTGATTGGAAAAAAGTAACGTTGGATCCATCTGCATTGTCAAGGAATTGCTTAGCACCTGTCCAGATGAAGTCACTATCACAAATTTGTATTTTTTTAATATGAATAAATATATATTTTTTATTCAAATTTACAGCCGCCTTTGCCATCACCCAGAAAGAAAAACGCAAGATAGTCAGGGACACAGGAATATCGTGAGGCAAATTAAAACAGCCTACAGAAGACGGAGAAGAAAAAAGGGAGGGAAAAAAGGGAAACGCCCCCTTTATACTTACGGGAGCCAATCCTAGCGTAGATTGCCTCATGTATGAGTCAGCACTTTCTTTTTTCAAAGAATTTTTATTTTTTTATTCTCTTACATACCATTTAAGTATACATACACATAATTAGTATTCTTCTTTACATTTATAATTCTTATACATTTATTATTTCATTTAATAAGTTATAATGTACAATTTGGGTTGCTTTATTTACCATCCCTTCCTCCTTTTGTAACACCTCCTAACACCTTTTCTCCCTCCCTCCCTTCTCTACTTTCTTCCTTCTCTCCTTCTCCCTTCTTCCCTTCCCTTTCTCCTACTCCTGCTCTTCCTCTTCCCCTCCCTACCCTCTCTCCTTCTCTTTCTCCCCCTTCCTCTTTCTTCTTTCCCCCGTCTTCCTTTCTTTCTCTCCTCCTCTCTCCCTTTCTTTTTCTATTATTGTTGGTGTATATTTCAAAACTCAGTTAATTTTTCTTGGGATGGTATTTCCATCAGCCCAGATATAATTTTAGTATCATTTCTTATTCCCTTAACTTCACTAGTCTACCCTAGGTATGTTTTCCCCCCCTTTATATCTCGTTCTTGAATATATACTTATATGTTTAATATTTTCTGTTTTCCCCTTCTTCACCCCCCCTTTCCA